GCAAATCGTTGAAGAGGACGATCACAGCGAAGGACGACGACGAATCGCCATCTCTATCGCCGTAATCGCCACTCAGAGAAGAAGAATCGAGAAAGAAATTTTTTTCTGACCAAATAAAATCTCATCGCCTGTTTGGGCGAAAAAAAATGCGCCGCTCCACTCAAATCCCGACACGTGTTCGCATGAGACGTTTCAGTAATCTCAGCGGAATGAAAAGATTCAAACCCAAATTTGATCTGACCCAATTTTTTATTATTTTTTATTGGGTTGAAACCCATTCTATATCATTGATACATATGGTCTTATATCATGTGGAACCTGATTTGTCTCCTTGGATACTGTCCCCCAAAAGATTAAACTATTGAATTAAATTTTGTATATCACAAAGGAACTAAAGAGTATATATATATGTAATAAAACTATATTCAGCTTTGTCTAACCTTCTCTGCAGTTTTTGGACAACAATGGCAGCAATCACAGTTGACTTTCAGCTCTGCATCATCTTCATTCTCATATGGGTCTTCTCACTTCAGTGTCTCTCTTATTTCTTCTTCAAGAAACCGAAAGAGTCACACGGCGAAGACTGTGATCTGCCTCCGAGTCCACCGTCTCTACCAGTCATTGGTCATCTTCACCTTCTCCTCTCTGTTCCAAGTCACAAGCCCTTTCAGAAACTTTCCTCCAAGTATGGTTCTCTCCTTTACCTTCGCGCCTTTAATATCCCAATCGTTCTGGTCTCTTCGGGCTCCATGGCCTACGAAGTTTTGAGAACCCATGGCCTGAACTTTGCTACCCGTGACCGGGAAGTTCCTATAATGGAAAAATCAATACTTTTTGGATCTTTTGGCTTTGTCTCAGCCCCTTATGGAGATTACTGGAAGTTCATGAAGAAGCTTTTAGTCACAAAGCTTCTCGGACCTCATTCCCTCGAGCGGACAAGGCTCATCCGTGGGGAAGAAATCAAGACTTTCGGTGCTATGTTGTTCGATAAGGCGGCAAAGAGTGAAGCTATTGATGTTGGTAAAGAGGTAATGAAGCTGACGAATAACAGCATTTGCAGGATGATAATGGGAAGGAAATGTTCAGAGGAGAATGGTGAAGCAGAGGAAGTTAGGGACTTGGTGACCAAATCGCTAAGTTTGGTGAGGAAGTTTATTATAGCTAGCACGGTTGGTCGGCTTCTCAAGAAGATCGGGATCTCGCTGTTTGAGAAGGAAATCATGGAGGTCTCGCAGAGGTATGATGAATTGCTTGAGAAGATTATTAAGGAACATGAAGAGAATCCCAACAAAAAAGAGGACAGAGACATGATGGATGTTCTGTTGGAAGTTTGTGCAGACGAAAACGCCGATTACAAGATTACCAGGAACCAAATCAAAGGGCTTTTTGTGGTAATGTTCTGAGTCTTGTCTCTTCATGTTTTACAATGGCATTTGTTTCAAACGCACATTTTGCATAGTCTCTTTTATCTTTAACATTGTGCATTTGTTTCATTGTAAGGAGCTTTTGCTTGGAGGCACTGATACGTCAGCACAGACAACGCAGTGGATAATGGCGGAACTCATTAACCATCCTGAGATTCTTAAAAGATTGAGAGAAGAGATAGAATCTGTTGTTGGGAAAACGAGGTTGATTCAAGAAACAGATCTCTCAAACTTGCCATATTTGCAGGCTGTGGTGAAAGAAGCGCTAAGACTACACCCGCATACGCCAGTCTTGGTGAGGACTGCAACGGAAGGATGCAAGATCGGAGGATTTTATATACCGCAGAACACAACAATGGTAATTAACTCCTATGCGGTGATGAGAGATCCAAATATATGGGAAGATCCAGACGAGTTTCAGCCTGAGAGGTTCATAGTTACTCCTTCAAAAGGGCAAGACAATGAGAAAGCGTACTTATCACTGAATTACCTTGCTTTTGGGGGCGGAAGAAGAGCATGTCCCGGATCAAACTTAGGTTATATCTTCGTTGGAGTAGCCACTGGAATAATGGTACAGTGTTTTGATTGGAGAATCAATGGAGAAAAAGTTAACATGGAAGAGACTGGAGATGTGACCCTGAGCATGGCTCATCCACTTAAATGCACTCCTGTTGCTCGAATTGACTCGTTAGCTAGCTTTGAATCTGCAGAGCCTTAGTTGATGGTTGAGTTTGGTGTGTTCTGTTGAAGTTACAGAGTTATGTATGAAACTGTGATGCAGCGCCTCCTTATCCATTTAGGAGAACACGTCGTGGTGTTTGGTGTATTTCTTGTGTTCTTCAAGTCTCGTTTTAAATTATATGTTCTAGCTTCCGCTCTCCATCAAACTGGTAATGAAACTTGCTGTCTTTGTAATGTTTTATCTCCTTCAAATACAAGCTTGGTTGTCTCTATGTCTGAGACATCTGTTATATGAGAATGGCCGAGATTGAGATTGAGATTGCGAAACTTTGAGTACTAAGTGGAAAACATTGCATATAAATAGAAGAGCTTAAGGCATCAAAGGAAGATACTTCACATATCTAGGAAGTCTACTTTAAGCTTATTACACTTTCACTACTTGCTACTTTCGATGCCAAACTTGTGATTATTCCAGAGAGTTTCAGAAGAAGGCTCTACTCCCATAGAAAACACGGGAGCTTGCACTCTTTGGTGTCTGCTGAGAGGAGCTTGAGTTATCTGATTGTGTCGGGCTATCGATGTCCAAAGGGAGTTTCATCTTAGCCAGTGATTCAGTGAATTGCTGCAAGCTTTTCGTGTACATGTCAACAATATCTTGCTGCACTACCTTTTGCTCTGCTTCAGGGTTCACTGTCAGAACCGGTTTCACAACTGCTTCATCATCCGTCTTATCTATATCGTCATTCTTGATGATATCTGTTGGCTTTTTGGCTTCTCGGTCTGAACCTGAGTTGTTTCCTTCGCTTGATAGCTTTGAATCATCATGAGTGTCCGAGGAACCCGAGCTAACTGCAATTGATGGAGAAGAGATTCCATTTGTTGAGACAGTACTTGTTGGAGCTGCTTCTTCAACAGCGTCAACAGCTTTAGATTGGTCGCTATTTGTTTCCACAAAGCCGGTTTCAGCGCTTACAAATTCATCAGAATCAGAACCAGGAGTGGCAAAGTACTTGGACACCATTTGATTGTTTTCACAGACAATCTTGGGATCCACAAACTCAATCTCATCAAACTCGAAAGGAACCAACTCAGTCTTGTCCACAGTTGGAACAGCAGGAATATGCATCACCTCGGGCGAATCTCCTGCGTACGAGAGAGTCAAGTCAACAAAACCTGCGGGAGAGTGATACAAATCGGTTGACGAAAGAGAAAACTCTTTCTCCAATTTCCCATTCCTCATAACCACTTCAGACAAAGGTACAAGAGTGAATCCAAGTAACTGATCCTCGAGATAATTCTTCACTCGGCTCATCATATATATCTCGCACTTTAGCGAACAATCCACATTCTTCACATCGAACTGAAGGGTATCGTCAAAGACAGGGTTTCTCCCTCCACCATTGATGATCTTGGTTGACAATGAGCTCTCTGGATCGCTTGTGAGACAAAGCTTAGCATACACATCTTGCTTATGATAGATGCAGATGTTGTGAATGTCCCTAGCTTGATGAACAAAAACCTCAAGCGCACCGATGTAACTGTCTGAATCAGAGGGCACAACAGGTTTCTTTGTGCCATTCAAAGAGACACCATTGGAATTCGATGTCACAGATTGTGGAGACTCCATAAGAAGAAGATCTG